GCTATTTCTAGGCATTTGTATATGCTTTATTATCATCGTGAATAGCATTATTTTTCCATTACACTTTTAACTGGCTATTGTTGGTATACTGGGAAACATTTATTAATATTTTTATCTTGTATCCAGCCACTTTCCTGAATTATTTTGTAAACCCTTCAGAAGTATCTCTCACTGCCCCCTTATTCACAGACTGAATCAGGAAACAGAGGTTTCTGTGTAGGGGAATAGAGGACTTGTTTGGCTTGTATAGGGCAATAGATGGCTCCCATACAGTGTGTTAATTCCATATGTAGTGATAGCCCCCATATGGAGGCGTGGAAGAGCAGCAACTCAAAGATTCTGAGAAGCAAAAAATAAAGGCTGTCAAGACGAGCCCCTTTGACCTTTCTACTAACATCAGAAAAGGAAAAGGGGGTTCCTCTGCTGCTCTGGGAGAGAGGCAATGGTGGTGCTTAGGGCAGAGTGCCCTGGCAAATGTGGCAGGCAGAGGCCCAGAGGCACTGCAGGCGCAGCTTGTGATGCTTTGGTGCCATTGAAATTGTGACTAGAAAGGCAGGCAATGGTCTAGCTGGCTTTGTGAAGTCCTTATGTCCTTGATGAGTTAGCCCAGTGGTCGGCAAACTGTGGCTCACGAGCCACATGCGGCTCTTTGGCCCCTTGAGTGTGGCCACGAAGTTTCAATCGCACTGTACGTGCGCGCACGCACATGGTATTTTGTGGAAGAGCCACACTCAAGGGGCCGCAGTTTGCTGACCACTGAGCTCCTTGAGCATCACTGTGTGCAGCAAAGAGCAGTAGCCAGAGCTGACTGGACATTGCTAGGTTGGTAGAAAGAAATAAATCCCCTGACTGTGATGGATCAAAGTCACAGTTGCCTTGGGGTGTTTCTGAGAAAGCCTCTCCTTGGGACTGAAATTCTGTTGGGGTCTGAAAAGCATGGGTTTTAGAATTAGCCAGATCTGAGTTCAAATCTTGATTCTGCCACTGAGTAGTGATGTGCCTTAATTTGCATCCCCCCCCTCCACCCACAAGCAGGCCTTAAGACAAGGATTGGATGCAAGTAGTTTATTTGGGAAGCACAGTGATGGGGTGGGGAAGTGAGATGGAAAGGTTGGGAAGCCCTGAGAGGATGAGTGGGTCACTACTGTGGGCAGCTGGAGCTCAGCATCCTGGGAGTCCTCTGACAGACAGTGTAGAACACACTTCATTGTCCCACCTACAGACAAGGAAGCTAGCCTATTTATCTACCAACTCCTGGCCCGCAGTTGAAGGTCATTTTGGGGGCATTAACTCTTCAGCACTTCTGGTGAACTGACATTTTCTTGTAGCCAGAGAACGCTCTCAGGTAGAGTGGTGCTTTTGGAGCATATGGGTTTGAATTCCAGGGTGGGCTAAGGGGATATGGATGTGACACAGATATTTTGTGCTACAATTATGTGATTTGATCTGCTTTCCTGTCTCTGAAATGGAGATCATAGCACTCAATTGCACTGGATTAGTGGGAAGATTAAGGGCATTAGTGTTCCTAAAGTGACTCTCATAGGTCCTGGAACACAGCTGATGCTCAATAGATGATCATTGTAGCAATAAGTTAACATGAGGGAACAGTGCCTCTTCCTCTGTGGCTGACTTAAGACTTGTTTCTATCATTATAATTTGTATTAGAGAAGACAGTTGACTGGAGTTAGAAGGGGCAATCTGTGGCCATAGGAATTAAGATTTTCCTTGAGTGAAGCTATCCAGTTGTATGAGGACAGAATCTACAGCTTATAAGCATCATAGAGCCAACTAACTTAGTAAGATATAATTAAATTGTTTTCTTATTAATAAAGCTTTTGCCAATGGCTTGTACCTTTTGTTGCCTGGCAGGGAAAAGAAAGCTTTCACAGAGCAGTTATTTTGCCTGTAGCTATAGAGAATATTTACCAGTTCATGCTGAATCTTAAAGCATATCCAGGTTGACATAAATGCCCATCCCATTGTGTTTTCTACCTTTGCACTAAAATATAATTGTGAATATCTTATACCACAGGTGTGTGCTTGCTTACTAGGAAAATGGGAGGTTGTGGGGAAGGTAACAGTTATCTGTTTGTATCAGGGGATGGAAAGTATATGGAAAATAAGAAGGGAACGGATTCATCATGAATAAAGAATTGAGTGTTATTTTAAAATTTGCTTTATTTTGGGCGATAGGAGTGGAGCTGAATATGGTCAATGTTGTTTACAATTTGAGGTCCTCCTAGCCAAGACCTGCAGGAAGAGTTAAGGTTGTGCATGTCTTTGTGGCAGGCACAGGAGGTTAACTACACACCAGCCTTTCCCCCTCTTCTGTGCTAACAGATCCTGATTTTATTCAGCTATTAGATCTTAGGGAAGGTGGGCTAGTCTCAGTGGACAAATCAAGTTTGGTTCAAGCCAATCATGGTATTGCATTTATATTTCCAGGTCTTTGGTGTGAGGTAGGCAAGTAGCCTAGAAATCTGATGAAGATTTAAGGAAATATTTTTTCTTTGGTAAAAAGAGAGTGATGGAGGAGAAGAGGCCTGCTCTTTTACTTCTTGATAATGGATTGGATTGGTTGTATGAAAACATGGTGTTTGGTACTGATCTCACCCAGCATCTATTGGTCATGCGTCTAGTAGTGGATCACATTGAGGGCAACAGAATGGAAAGATGAAAAAATCTCGTGTCCTTGATGCATTACTAGGCGCCTGGATCAACTTGGGACTCCAAACTTCTGGCTTCCTATAATGTGAGACCTACTTAAAAAATATCTATAGTAATAAAAGGGTAATATGCTAATTAGATCAGATGCCCTTCCAGACAAAGCCAAGGTGGCAGGGGCTGAGGCAGAGGTGGTTAGGGGCGATCAGGCCGGCAGGGGAGAGCAGTTAGGGGTGATCAGGCCAGCAGGGGAGAGCAGTTAGGGGTGATCAGGCAGGCAGGAAGAGTGGTTAGGGGCGATCAGGCAGGTAGGCAGGTGAGTGGTTAGGAGCCAGCGGTCCCGGATTGTGAGAGAGATGTCCGACTGCTGGTTTAGGCCCAATACTGCAGGGATCGAGCTTAAACCAGCAGTCGGACATCTCCCGAGGGGTCCTGGATTGGAGAGGGTGCAGGTTGGGCTGAAGACCCCCCCGGCCCCTGTGCACAAATTTCGTGCACTGGGCCTCTAGTATGTATATATATATATTAATTTCAGAGAGGAAGGGAGAGGGAAAGAAAGAGAGAAACATCAATGATGAGAGAGAATCATTGATTGGCTGCCTTCTGCATGACCCAAACTGGGGATCGAGCCTGCAACCCGGGCATATGCCCTGACCTGGAATCAAACCGTGACCTGCTGGTTGATAGGTTGATTGAGCCACGCTGGCCGGGCATGAGACCCACTTTTGATGGGATACTCTGTTATTGAAGCCCAAATTGTCTTGATTGACAGAGCTCTAAATAAAGAGCAAGTTTGGGGGAATATCAAAGACCCAAATTTCTAAAAAATATATTAATGAGAATGTGTGTCTTTTAAAAAATATTTTTATTGATTTCAGAGAAGAAGGAAGAGAGAGAGAGAGATAGAAACATCAATGATGAGAGAGAATCATTGATTTGCTGTCTCCTGCACGCCCCAATTGGGGATTAAGCCCACAACCCGGGCATGTGCCCTTGACCAGAATTGAACCTGGGACCCTTCAGTCCATAGGCCAATGCTCTATCCACTGAGCCAAATCAGCTAGGGACAAAGATCCTGATTTTAAGAGTAACTATCAATGGGAGAGAAGAAGAGCTGAGGCACAATCAGAACTCCTGGAGCGGGCTCAATCACCACTGAGCAGGACAGTGAGAGGATCGAACTCCTGTGGATCAGGAGGCCTGGTAGTGCTCCCCACATCTAGAAGGCGAGTGAGAGCAGGAGTGAGACAGTAAGGCCACTTTGGCAAGGCACCAGGATAGTGCAGCCATGGCAGGCAGGCCTTGCAGTTCTCTCCATGGGAGACTCAGGAGTTTGGGTCAACATGACGTTGCAGCTCTGAGAGCCTGATGGTGGTGGAGGAGAGAGTGGCCTTGGAGCCCAATGAAACGGGGCCCTGGCCCTCACTTGATCAGAGCTTCAGTTTCCTTAGCTGTAAAATGAGGAAAGTCATCTACCCCCAGTGGGTTGTTACGAAGATAAAAATACACTAACTTCTAAAACTGTCCGAGGATATAGTGGAAGTTGAATAATTAAAGATAGTACTACTATTTAATGGAGACCTGCAGAGGTCATGGAAATGCTTCATTATCCACTACTAGATGCATGACCAATAGATGCTGGGTGAGATCAGGCTGATTGGAGACTTGCTAAGGCAATCTGAAGACTTATCCTGATTGGTCTTCTATGAGAGAAGACCCTGGGGATGGAGTTTCTGGAGACCACTCCTCTGCCCCGCATTTCTGAAACAACAGACATTTTGGAAAGGGGGTGGGGAATGTTAATATTTGCCATGACATTGTTTTCCCCTGAACAGGGAGGAAGACAGAGACTGAAGATGTGCAGTGCTGATAGAAATGAGACTGCCAGAGATAAGCATGTTTTCCAAGGCTCCCAAGAGACTCCGTGGGGCTCATCGTGGGGTCTTAGACTCCTGGGAGGATGGTGGGAGAGGACTGTAGAGCGCCCCCTGCCCATCTCCTCATGGACAGCTTCAGTTACAGAAGCACCAGGAGCACAAACGGAATCACCAGAACCAGAGGCTTCCTGCTTACGGATATGAGGGGGGAGGTGGACCAAAATAACTGCACAACACTAATAGCTGACCCTAAGAAGCCACCCCTTCTCTCCCGGAGCCCCTTCCTACACACCCCATTCTAAGTAACATCTAACCTTGTGAATATTCACAGAAAGAAGAAGAATAAACATTATGGGCTTTTGTAGTAACAGGATGAGAAAGTGCGAGACTTCCTGTTATGCGTGTGTGACAGCTGGTGATAAGTGCAGGGCCCTACACAGGAAATCCGCTCAGCTTCTGCAATGTGACCTGCCTGAAACTTGGGCGCTTCTCCAGTCTGGATGTTGATGGCAGGACAAAGGGGCATCTGGACTATGGGCGACGTGGTAGAGAAAAGTTTGGAAGAGCCATTGGCACCTCCTGCAGATGAACCCTCCCAGAAAAGGGGGGACCTGGTAGAAATCTTAAATGGTGATAAGGCAAAATTTGACGACACGGGACTGTCCTTAATTCTGCAGAATGGCCTGGAGACCCTCCGAGTGGAAAATGCTCTGACGGATGTCATCTTGTGTGTGGACATTCAGGAATTCTCCTGCCACCGCGTGGTGCTTGCTGCGGCCAGCAACTATTTCAGGTCAGCACGCCTCAGACCAGGGTCAAATTGGGGTGCGAGTTGTCAGGAATCGCTGTATTCATGTGAGAGCCCAATCTAACGAGTTGGCTGTTGAATTTATGGTTTGTATATCTATTTAGGCTTGCGTGTCTATTCAAGATACAAGAAAGAAAGCTATTCAACCTTAGATTTTAGAATGTAAGCCATGTTAAAAGAGATTAGTATTACTTAAAAGCAATGTTTATATCTTTTGGTAAATCTTCTGTGTGATATGTCCTTGTTCCAAAGGATGGAAAATTACTGAAGTCATGGGGATTTTCCCCTCTTTGGTCTGACTAGTATGTTGGAAACCTGATGTTGTATTTTTCACCAATAGAGGTAGAGAAAAGGATAGGGCCCCTCTTTTGCAGTTTTCAAATGACTTGCTGAAAATTAGGGATTTCTGTTTGTGCTGAGGGGGTGGGTGAGAAGGGAAAGCTGTTACAAAGGTGCTTTAGAAGAGAGAGGCTCCTCGTTACAGCAAACTCGGAGGCCTGGGCTCCATGCCACTCTGTCCCTTCCTGACCATGGGACTTTATGCAAGTCACTCAGTGCTCTAAGTTTCTGTTTTCTTGTCTGTAAGATGGGATTGTTGTGATAATTAAATCTGAGACACACATGCCTAGCATATAGTAGATGCTCACTGTATCTCTGTGGAAATTTGTCACCTTATTCTGCTTGGTGAAACTAAGAACCAATTATTGAGCGGTTACCATGAGCAAATGCCTAGGGTCGGAATGTGGGAGAATCAGGAACCCAGTGAATACAGCTGGATCCAGATTAATGTAGACATGGTGGGAACCAGTCCCCAAAGGAAATGTGGATGAACAGATATTTGGGGAATTTTGAAAAAGAAATACCCTTTATAATTCTTCTCAATGAGATGGTTCTTAACTCTTGTTTCTGGTGGAGGAAATGAAAAACTATTTACCTTTGTGCATATCATCAAAGTGTTTTCTTTAAAAAAATTTTTTTTGAGATGCTTATGGGAATATTTTTCTTTGGAATTCAAAGAACCGGGTCAGGAGGTTGTTGTGGAACTGATTAAACCCCATATGTAGACAAGGCAAGAGGAGGGCTGGGCTTGTGGGAAGTGGTGCTTGCTAAGTGCCAGACACACAGTTACCTGATTTTATTTTTGCAACAGCACAATGAAGGTGGTTGATATGCCCTTTTACCGAGGAGGACATGGCAACCCAACATTACATGTCTGGTCATTGCTGGGGCAGGGATTGGGCACATTCTGGAAATACTTGTTTTTACTGCAGTACAAACTGCTACTAAGTTTTGGGCTTCATTCCACAGGAAGTATATACACGGTAAAGCATAGGCACAGCTGTCACGATGGGTTGACATGATAAACACATTCCTTATACCACCAACATTGACCATGTGCTTTCACACTGATCACAGCCCCGTTGAGAAGTGAATGGAAGTTAACTTAGCTCTGTGGCCCGAGGACTCACTTTTAGAATTATTCTTTCTCTTTTGAATCGCTGGAAAACGCTATCATAAAATGTATACCCGATTAGCGGTTCCTCCCGGCTGTGGAACAGGACTGCTGGCTGTGTGCTCTCGAGTACATCAGTGGCTTCTCTGATCCTTGGGATTCGCATCCTAAACAGAGGGGGTGTGTGCTCAGTCCTCCCCATCCTGCTGTGTAGGCGGCTTAGGGAAGGAAAGACTCCGCCAGTCCCCTGAAGAGGTGGAGGCAACGAGAAGCTGGAGGTGCCCACATGGTGTACGTTTCTGCCTGTGGTTGAAGAGTCTCTTCCAAAACTGCCTGGTCACAAAGGGAAATTCCTTCTATTCTTTTCTTCAGCGCTGTGCCTTGATTCTTATCTTGGTATTTCCAAGAGGATTGTCCTCTTCTCCTGAACACATTAATCCTGGAGACAAGACTCCTTTTTCTGGCACCACTATTAATAACAACTTTTGTTGTTGAGCACGGATTGTGGGCCAGGCCCCCGGTGTCCCATACACTGTCCCACAACAAGCCTGGGAGGGAGGGAATTTCATCCTCCTTTACAGATGAGGAACCAAGGCCCGAGTGTGTCAGTGAGCAAAGTGGCCAAGAGGGATTTGAACCTGGACCGACGTGAACTCTGACATTGCCTCACTGCCTGTTTTGCTTTGTTTCTAAGATTTTGAAAGGGGTTGAGAGCCAAGTTCCCTTTATGCTCAGCCTTTGGAAGGGCGGAGAGTTCGCTTTGTCTGAGAGGCACTGACAGCCCTCGGAGCTGAGGTGGGCCTGGAAGCTGCTTGTAAAATTATGTAGGTTTTTAAAAAAATAAATCTTTATTCATTGAGAACATAAATATGTTCCACTAAGTGATGGAACCATACTTTATTTAGCCAGTCACCTACTGACGGGCGTTTGGGTTGTTTTCAATCCTTTGCTTTTACAAACAGTGTTGTAATGAATAACCTTATACACATGTCATTTCATAGGCATGCAAGAGTTTCTAGAAGCAGGTTTGCTGAATCAAAGAGAAATGCATCTGCAGTTTTAGTGGCTATTGCCCGATTCTGTCATTTTATACTCCCCACAGCCTTGCCAAAAGAGGATGGCCGCAAACTTGGATTTTTTCCCAGTTTGGTTGATGAGAAACAGTACTTCACTTTAGTTTTAATTTGCATTTCTCTTATTTTAAAGAAGTTCTCTTTCTGTGAACTATCTCTTTCTAGCCTTTCAAATTTTCACATATACTTTTTAAAATTAAAATTTATTTTTATCAAAGTATTACATGCAAATAGTTATCAGAGTCAAATAGTATTTAAAGGCTTATAATAGAAAACAAAAATTTATCTTCACCTCCTCTACTCTTCAGTCTTGCCCACCACACCCCAGCATTTTCAAACATTTATCTGTTTATTCTGATATTATATTTATATTTCTACCAAATATGCTTATATTGCTCTTTCTTGATTTCTCGGTGTTAGATGTTTATGAATTCCTAGTATGTCTAATAAGGACTTAGCACTTATACTTAATTCTTTTACCATATACTTTCCTTCTCTATAATCTCTCACATAATGTTATCACCTTTTTTGATAAATTTGTATTAAAGTTTACATTATGTCCTTAAAAACATTGTTTCCTGTTGAGCCAAATTGTGTGATATGATTACATTTCCTTTCTTGTAAATCTTTTGCTTTTCCTGAAATTAACAATTCACTTTTTCCATTTGCTTTGGGGATATCTTTTGTTCACAGCCTCTCCATAATAATCTTTCACGTGGTCCAATGCACCAGAAAAAACCCCAGTTCCATTTCCCCCCAGAATCTTCCTCAGTTCCATCATCCTATACATGTTCTCTGGGCCTGATGCCCAACTATTATCTAGCTGCATATGAAAACCATGGTGGCAGTAAACAAGGACTGTATTACTAACTCAGATGGTGTAGTTCCCTTTGAGAGCCTATTTAAAAGTTTCAAGTGGAATGAGGAAGTTGGGAAAATATGTAGAGTTGAGACTGAGAAGAGGGTGAGGGTGAATAAAGCTTCGAAAGTAGCTCATAACATACCTTAAATGTCAAAGAGCCAAATGCCAAGGAGTCCAAATATGTTCATGGCAGAAAAATGGAGGGAATCATAGATTTATCACTCATTAACGTTTTAAAATGTTTTAAAAGACTACTAATAAAGCTGTCATTTGTGCTATGTTGAAGGTCCCCACATCGATGTCATTGGAGGGGGCCACCTTCCAAAGGATCTCCGTTTAAACCAGTGGTTCTCTCCGTTTGGTGGGGAGCAACTCACTGATGACTATGACACACTCCATAAATGATGTTGACCTGTGAGAGCAACCACGTTATGATTTCCAGGGTGGACAGAGGGAGGGGAGTCTTGGTGATAAAGAGAGGGGTCCTCAGGCTTCTCTCAGTCTTACTAAAGACTGGCTCCTCTTACATAAATATGAAAGCTTCCAGGCTGAGTCTGAGTCAATAGTAAGCTCCTTTGTTGCGGCCAATGCTGAAATCCCCGCCTGGGCTTGGTCTTTGCCTTGTACCTCAGTACCTGTTTCTGGGTCTGGTTCCCTGAGGATATGATGAGGGGACTTTGACTACTTGCTACAAAAATCAAACATGAGGCTAGGAATGAGGAGGGTATTGTGGACACAATCTATTAATCATTATTATATATTAACCAATTACTGGATGACAGGAATGTGGGTGAGAGGTTACTCTTAAGCTGTGTTTAGATATTGTAATACTTTGGTTTTTCCTCCATAATGTGTAAGGTGTCTAAAAAGGAGCCAGCAAGTGTAGGTGATAGAATGAATGCAAAGGAAAACAAGAATGAGTTAAGGCCATCTGGGTCTGGATTAAAAACCTCAATAATGGCAAAAGTGTTGAGAATTGCTACTGCCAGAATTGGTATGCCTGGTAAACTCCAGTGAACTATTGTTTGTACTTCTAACATTGGGCTCTGTATTTTATACTTTTAATATTTTCCTTTTGGCAGAACCACTAAGGTGGTTATATGTAAGTACTATAGATCTATGATCCTTGATCTGCCTTCCAATCCTAAAAAAGGTCTTCTCAGTGGGGGCTGCAGCCCCAGGGTAGAAGTGCAATCAGGTCCTTTGAATTTTCTTTTTTTTTTTAATTTATTTATTTATTTTTTTATTAAATCTTTATTGTTCAGATTATTACATTAGTTA